AGAGACACGGCCAACCAGAAAGCTAGAAACCCCCCCCCCAGCGGGGTTAGCCACGCCTCAATCCCTTCTCCTCCAATCTCCTCTCGGGATCTTGGGCACGCATGCACACATGCCTGTGAGTTTAAGCCACCGGGTCCAGGACTCGAACCGCAGTTGACTACATGGGAGTCCAGCGTCATAGCCATTACGCCAACTGCTGGTCCCAACTTCCTATTGTCTTGATGGAGCAGGAGACCTTCAACCTCCCTGTGGACTGAGGGAGGCTGTCGGGCTGCAGTAATGAGGGAATCTGGGCCTGGGGGTGGGGTGTTGGTGTGGCTTGACCCCAGTCGGGGAATCTCTGCAGATGCTCCTGGGAGGTGGCCTTGAGGGTAGGTGCCAGTGCCCAGAGCCTGCAGGATCTTGCCTCAGCACAGGACAGAGAGGAGGGCCCCAAGACAGAGTGGCGTGCTCTGCCCTGCCCCAGGTGCTGACACCCTCTTTACGTCTGCCCTCAGGTCCCTGACAGGGTCCCCCCGCAGCAGCAGTGAGAGCCACTCGCCTCTCTACATGCACCCTCCCAAGTGCACATCCTGTGGGTCCCAGTCCCCGCAGCATGCGGAGATGTGCCTGCACACTGCTGGCCCCACGTTCCCTGAGGAGATGGGAGAGACCCAGTCTGAGTACTCGGATTCCAGCTGTGGTGAGTCCACCCTCCCTCCCCTTGGCAGGGGGAGAGCAGCCCCTTCAGCCCCTTCCTTCGCTCCATAGCTTTCGTGTCTGTTATATTTACGCCATTGTCTCAGGGAGGAGTCCCTGCCTGGAAGTCCACTGGCACTTAAATAGCCAACTGATCACCTCCCTCTTGACCTCTTAGAGAACTGAGCTGAGCCTCGTTCCAGCACAGGGGACGTGGAGGCTGACTGTAATTCCCAGGGCTCTCTAAGTGCCTCTGTCCCCAAACTCCTGACTCCGATCTGTGTGCCTGTTGATTCTCCCTGCTGGGCCACAGGTTTTATGAGGAGAAACATCTGACCATATTCTTTCTTTCATCCCCGATAGGCTCTGGTAAGTCCTTAACATGCGGTAGGCGTTAACTAACCATTAACGAAATTAAATAAGTTGAATTGAATTATGAAATTGAAGCTTCCTGGACAGTCAGTGAATGGCATCCCTAGTTTTAACCAGATTAACAGAAGCCGAACTTTTGCGCAGCTCTGTAAGACAGTCCAGTAATGGGTTAGCGCAACAAAACATGTGAGTTTGAGTTGTCACAACAACGAAGTCACTGAGGAGTTTGGCGCAGAGTTATGGACCTGCAGTTGGAAGGCAGGGACTGTCCCCTCCTGTCCCCTGGCTTCTTGCCTTTGCTCTGCATTCCAATCCCTTCTTTCTGGGCCTCTGTTTCCACTTCCGCTGTCATCTTTGGTCTCCCAACCTCACAGAAGTGCTTGGGAGAACATGAAACCCAGATAGTTGTAAGGATAGCCAAGAAGCGTCCTCCCTGGGTTTCTCCTTCAGTGACCGCAAGGTATAACTGAATTTGACCTATATCTTACATTTTAGAATGCTTTGTGTTTCATTTCGGGTTACACAATGTGTTCCTGGGAGGTAGGCAGGACAGAGATTCATAATCCTGACTTTGGGGATAGAGACACAGAGAGGGGCCCAGAGGGGTGTAGAGTCATGCCCGAGGGCTTCCATACATGAGTGTAAATAAAACTATGAACTGATAACATTCACTTCTCAAGCCTTTGGGAGAAGAAAAGCTCTTCTGGGCCCTAAACTGCTATAGGCCAGAAGAGCCCCATTGGTGTGAGCATCCCTTCTGTACCTTCCTATTAAAATTGTCAGCGTTCTCCCTCCTCCATGACGAAGACTGTAAATGCTAAGGCAGATCAACCCCTCACAGGTGCTTTGCTCTGGCCTCTTAGGACTATGGGTGGGTGGCAGGCTGGGGGTAGCTCTGGAGGAGAGAGGCCTTACCATCCTGCCTCCTCTCCTCTGCTGACTCTGCTGTCCCCCTCCCACCTCCAACAGAGAACGGGGCCTTCTTCTGCAATGAGTGTGACTGCCGCTTCTCTGAGGAGGCCTCCCTCAAGAGGCACACGCTGCAGACCCACAGTGACAAACCCTACAAGTGTGACCGCTGCCAGGCCTCCTTCCGCTACAAGGGCAACCTCGCCAGCCACAAGACCGTCCATACGGGTATGGCCCTGCCCCTGCCCACCTGAGCTCTCCAGGATGCCTGGGGACAGAACAGGGAGATGATCCTAGAAAAAACAGTGTGGGGGCTGGGACCTTGGGGTGAGGCCTGGATAAGGGGCTTAATTCTGTCCTTTCTTTGCCTAGGAACTCATCCACTCCCCCTATTCTCTTTCCTCTGAAATGATCTGTCCTGCTTCTCTTTGCTGGGCTCGGAAGTGTTAATCCCATTGTACAAGTGAAGAAACTAAGACGGATAGAGACAAAGCGATTAGGTTGTTGTAAAGCTAGGAGAAAATGAAAGGTCTCTCGATTTCCTCCAAGGACTTGTTCCTTATCAACTCACATTCTTTCACCAGGCAGCTTCTAATAACCTGATTGTCCTCCAGAGTTGACTCTTCTTTAACTGGCCCCAGCACCCCAGAAACTTTCCACAAAGGAAGCATAGCCCTTCGGTTGGACTCCTCTGCCTGGGCATCTACTCAGTTTCAGGCACCACCCTCCTGCAAATGGAGCCCAGCTGTGGTTGCCACATATGGGAAAGGGTTTTTGTGTAAAAGAGAGAAACTAGAACAGCCTGACCGTATTTCCCTGGTGAGGGGCGGGTTTTCCCAGGAACAGCAATTGAGAAAAGAGACGGGAGAGCCCAACCAGGTCATCTAAACTAGCCCCTCAGCTTCTGCAGAGGGAAACGGAGGCCCAGAGATGGAGAGTGGCTTGTCCAGGTCCTCTAGGCAGATGATCTTCATGACAGAACTGGTTCTAAAGCCCAGGCTTCCTGGAACCTCGACCCCCACCTGCCATGCCACTGCTGGCTTCTTGGCCCTGGTCCCCTGCAACGTGTGCTGGTGTGTATATGAGAGAGAGGGGTGTTGGGCCAGCACAAGGCTCCAGGATTCTCTTGACATCCCCCAAGGAAAGAAATGCATAAATGACCTCAGGGAGGGACAGTTTGCTTTGAAATCCAGGGGCTAGGGACTGTGGAGACCTACTCCACTGAATGTGGTCTTCCCTTTTCTCTTTCTCACGGTAATAGGCGAGAAACCCTATCGTTGCAACATCTGTGGGGCCCAATTCAACCGACCAGCCAACCTGAAAACCCACACTAGAATTCACTCTGGAGAGAAGCCCTACAAATGCGAAACCTGCGGAGCCCGATTTGTACAGGTGTGCAGGCAGCCCAGAGGAAGGACCCCCAGCCTCTCCAGAAGGGGCTGCCTGCTGGGGGGGGGGGGCGGGCTGCAGCCACCCTGCCAGAGCGTCTCACGCTTGTTCCTCCCTCCAGGTGGCTCACCTCCGTGCCCATGTGCTCATCCACACTGGTGAGAAGCCCTATCCCTGTGAAATCTGTGGTACCCGTTTCCGGCACCTTCAGACTCTGAAGAGCCACCTGCGAATCCACACAGGAGAGAAACCTTACCATGTACGTAAGCCTGTAGCGGCCACTGGCTGGCCTGGAAAGGACAAGGAGGTGGAGGGAGGGGTACGCAGTGGAACCGAGTGCTCCGATCTCAAGCACGTAGTAGGACGACCACTGAACTAATGAAGACCTGACTCTGGGCCTGCTTGTCAAAGACGCTCTGCTTGGCTTTGGCCTGGTCTCAGGGTGTTCATATGCAAAACAGGGCTGTTAGACTAGGTGATCTGGGCCTTCGCAAAGCATGCCAGACTCCAGATCCATAACCTGGGGTCATTCGTGTGTTCCACAAATACTGAGTGCCCACAGCACACTTTTATACCTGACTAGCTGTCCACTGAAGCGATCGCAGTAGTCAGAGAACAAGGAGAGAATGAAGATTAAAAGAAAAAGAGAGAGAGAGAAAGAGAGAGAGACTTCAAGAAAGAGAAGGTGCCCAGCTGGGCAGCACGAGGCCATGACCGGCCGTTGGGATATTTGTAGAGAGGGTCTCACAAACCACAGCATGCAGGTGAATTTTTGAATATTCTCTGTGAGCTAAGGATGAATTTTATATTAAAAATATCCAAAGCGTAGTATTTTTGACACGTGCAATTTACAGGAAATTTGTTGGAACACAGCCACCCGTGTTTGTTTATTATTTGCGTGGCTTTGAGGAGTGTACGGTGACACTCCAAGTGGTGATGGGCAGAGAGCTAACCAGTGAATGGGTCACTCACGGCCCAGGTGGTAAGCTGTAAATCGTGGCCGTTTTCGTTCATTTGTTTCTTGAGCTTGAGTGAATATTTTCTTCATTGCTGTTACTGAGCAAATCCGTTATCCCCTTAGTACCTTAAATTCCTCATGTGTAACGTGAACCTGATAACATCTCTTATGGAGCTGCAGCATTAAACCAGCTAGTTCAGGACCGGCCAGTGCAATGAGGGTTAAGGTGACTGGATCCCATACGGCTGACTGTGATTCGAGTCCTCGACTTGGTGGCTTGAAAATCCTGTTAGGCACTTAATGCGTGTGTGCCCAGAATCCTACAAAGAGAAGGAAGAAGGGATTATAGTGTGGTCGTCCTCCAAGGGGGTGCTTTCTCATTCTACCCCAGCCCCCCCACCCCTCCATCTCTCTCTGCAGTGTGTCCTATAGCAAATTAAAAAATACAAACAAAATACTAGTTCACTAGAGTGTTCAGGATAGTTCATGCACACTGTAAGAGTATAAGTATCTGCTAGTATAATGATTTCCTGGGGTTTTAGATGCATAGGGTGTAAAGAGTTGAGAGTGACCTTCAGCATGTGTTGACCTGGTCCCTTCAGAAGTGCAAGCCAAGGCCCACAGAGAAACGGTGTGTTTGGGACATGCTGTGGTGGCATGTGAGGGGCCTATGTCTCCCAAGGCTGGGGCTCTTCACGCATGCCCTGCCCACTCTATTTATTTTTAATTTTCCTAAATCTATTTTCATTTTTTCACTTGAAACGATATTACCTATCTCAACACATTTTACTATACTTTTTTTTTTTGGAGAGGTTTTTGCTATAGGGCGCTTGTGCTCACCAGAAAGATAGAGAGAGACAGAGAGTTAGAAATCGAGAAATCATCCCCCAGGGGCATGGCCACACTGCAGTCCCTTCTCCTCCATTCTCCTCTCGGGATCTTGGACACACATGCACACGCGCCCGCGATGAGTTTAAACCACTGGGTCCGGGACTCAAACTGTGGTCGGCTATGTGGGAGTTCAGCAACATAGCCATTACGCTAACTGCTGGTCCCTATACTTTTTTTTTTTTCCTTTTTTAAGAGTAGCTTTAGATGTACAGGAAAGTTGGGAAGATTATCACAGGGTTCCCATGTACCCCTGTTATCAACAGCTTACATACCTTTGACACCTTTGTCACAATGAACGAACCAATGCTGATATGTAATTATAAACTGAAGTCCACACTTCATGTAATTTCTCCTAGTGGATATCTGAAAATACCCCCTCTCTGTTCTCGGATCTCCTCTAAGGTACACATTACATTGAGTCGTTTATTATACTTCGAAGTAACTTTTCCACTGAAACTATTATCACTCATTCATTGAATCCAACAAACAGCCCTTTGTGCTAATGCTTTGTTCGTTTATCTAAGGTGTACACCCTAAGAAGAAATAGAAAGCATTTTATAAAAACGTGTCTTTGATTCTAGAATTTCCATGAATTCAGACAAGTCTAGCCCATTCGTCCAAATGTGTTCAGATTCACTGCATAATTGCCTAAGATATATTCTGCTAGGTTCTAGGAAGATGATAATGTTTAGTGAGAAGGGACCACTGTCCTCAAAGTGCTCCCCTGATGAGGATGTTAGTGCACAAAGATGTCTGGGTGCCAAGGCTAGAAAACCTCCAGAGGTTCAAAGGGAAGAGGGCATATTTTCCTTCTAGGGAGAGTCAGGAACACCATAATAATCAGGGGAGTTGGTGTCTGAGCTGTGTTTTGGATGAGCCTTGAACTTGTGGAGTTAAGGCAGGAAGAGACATCGCAAGCAAAGCAAAGGAAAGGAGGCAAAGACGTTTACACAAGGCCAGCTTAGCTCTTTTTTTTTTTTTAATTTTTTTTTTTTTGGAGAGATTTTCACTGTAGGGCGCGTGCGCTCACCAGACAGACAGAGAGAGACATAGAGACAGAAAGCGAGAAATCACCCCCCAGGGGGGATGGTCACGCCGCAATCCCTTCTCCTCCATTCTCCTCTCAGGATCTTGGGCACGCACGCACACACGCCCGGCGTGAGTTTCAAGCCACCGGGTCCGGGACGTGAACCGCGGTCGACTACGTGGGAGTCCAGCGACATAGCCATTACGCTAACTGCTGGTTCCCAAGGCCAGCTTAGCTCTTAGGGGAAGCCCGGGTTCCTGTGGGGTCTTACCCTGGTCTTTGTGAGGGAGGAGCTGCCCTGTCCCTCTCAGGGACACTCTCCTCGCTGGGTCTTGGAGCAATGATGGTTTGGGGATCGATGATAGCTAACAGTCTGCCTCTCGTGTCCTCTAGTGCGAGAAGTGTAACCTGCATTTCCGTCACAAAAGCCAGCTGCGACTTCACTTGCGCCAGAAGCACGGTGCCATCACCAACACCAAGGTGCAGTACCGCGTGTCTGCCACGGACCTGCCTCCGGAGCTCCCCAAAGCCTGCTGAAGCATGGAGTGTCGATGCTTTCCCCTCCAGCCCCTTCTCAGAGTCTACCCAAAGGAAACTGTAACACTTTAAAACGTCCATCCCATGATGTAGTGCCTCTTTCATCCACTAGTGCAGATCATA